GCGTAAGCAGTTGTTGATGAATGTCTGTAGTTTATTGGAAATACCTTTCGTGACGCGCCAAGTCTCTGAGCCATACAAGAGCACTGACTTGACGTTGGTGTTGAAAATCCGTATCTTGTTCCGCATGCTGAGTGCAGAAGATCTCCACACTGGTTTCAGGCTAATGAACGCCTGTCTTGCTTTTCCGATTCTGACTTTGACGTCCTCGTCCGTCCCGCCTGTAGTTGAAACAGTGCTTCCTAGATAAGTGAAGGAGGTTACTTCCTTCAAGTTTCTCCCGTTGACGGTGATTGGAGTTTGTTGTTGTTGATGGTGGTGGTGCGGTATCTTCATCACTTCTGTCTTCTCTATATTCACCTGAAGTCCCGTCTTCGCTGCCTCTTCTATCAACTTGTTAGTTTTTGCCTGCAGATCTTCAAGTTTATGTGACATTAGGCATAAGTCATCGGCGAAATCCAAGTCTTCTAGGTTCTTTTCCGTCGTCCAGTGTATCCCCCTCTTCTCGCTGCCTACTGTTTGCTGCATGATCCAGTCCACCACAATAAGGAATATCATGGGGGATAGTAGGCAACCTTGTTTCACTCCTGTCTTCACTTCAAAGGCATCACTGAGCTTCCCATTGTGGATTACTTGGCATGTAGCATCTTCATATAGTTGTTGAATGAGGCGGATAAAGGTTTGCGGTACTCCGTAGTATTGAAGCAGTTTCCAAATTACTTCTCGGTCGACGCTGTCAAAGGCCTTCTCAAAGTCGATGAAGTTGAGGTGGAGAGGTGATTGCCATTCTATGCTCTGTTCTATGATGATACGAAGCGTTGCAATTTGGTCTGCACATGATTTGTACTTCCTGAAGCCTGCCTGTTCCGGTCGTAGTTTTGAATCCAGTGCATCCCTTAGCCTCTCCAGGATGATGCGGCTTAATATTTTACTTGGGGTGGACAGGAGAGTGATTCCGCGCCAGTTCTTGCAAGCACTGAGGTCTCCCTTCTTCGGCAGTTTGACAAGGTAACCCTTCTTCCAATCGTCAGGTACCTTCTCTTCCTTCCACACCTTCTGCAATAGTGGTGTGAGCATGTCCGCTGTTGTCTCTGCATCTGTTTTCAGTGCTTCTGGCGGTATTCCATCTGGTCCTGCTGCTTTCCCGCATTTCAGTAGCTTTATGGCGTTCAGGACTTCCATTTTCGTTGGGGGATTAATGTTCACTTGTAGTTCAGCGGCTGCAGGTGGTATTTCTGGACGAAGTGCAGGTGGTGGTCGATTCAAGAGCTTCTTGAAGTGGTCGGCCCATCGTTTCCTCTGTTTCTCTTCTTTTGTAATTAAATTTCCTTCTTCATCTTTTATTGGTTTCATCTGTGTTGGTCTCTTCCCTGATAGCAACCTGGTTATTTGATACAATGTCGTCAGGTCTCTCTTACCTGCAGCCTGTTCTGCTTCACTTGCCAGTGTTTCGTAGAAGTGTCTTTTGTCTTTGCGTGCACTCTTCTTCACTTCTTTGTCCAGTGTTTTATACATTGTGCTCAGTTCCTCTTGTCGTTGAGCATCCTTGCACTGGTTTATCTTCTGCTTCACCATCCTCCTCTCCTCTATCAGCTTCCAGGTATCCGTCGAGATCCATTCCTTGTCTTCTTTCTTCTTCCTTCCTAATACTGTTGTGCAGGTTTCTTTCCACATAGCTTTCAAAGACTTCCAGTGTTCTTCCACACAGGTTTCTTCAGGGATGTTCCTCGATGTCTCCCATTTTGTCTTGATGGCTGCCTTGAAGATCTCCTTTGTAGTTTCATCCTTCAGTTTCCGAGTGTTGTACTTGGGTTGAGGTCTATCACCAGCTTCCTTGAAGGCTTTTAACTTGATTTGGAAGGTTCCTTGCACTAGGTAGTGGTCTGAACCTACATCTGCTCCTCTTCTTGACCTTGTGTTAAGTAGACTGCGTCTCCATTTTCTTGAGATTGAGATAAAGTCGATTTGATTTTTAGTGTGTCCATCTGGTGAAATCCATGTCGCTTTGTGGATATCTTTGTGCCTGAACACACTGCCTCCAATCACCAAATCGTTGAATGCGCAGAATTCTGCAAACAATTCTCCATTCTCATTCATTTCACCTAGTGCCTCTCGACCCATGGTTAGTTCTCTTCCCGTGTTGTCCCCTCCCAGTTTGGCATTCATGTCGCCCATCAGAATTTTGATATCGCCAACTGACGTCTTGTCCAGTGTTGATTGAAGTTGTCTGTAGAAATCCTCCTTTTTCTCTTGCTCTGCATTATTTGTAGGTGCATAACATTGTATGATTGTGACCTTTCTTCCTTTTGAGTTGAATCTTGCTGTCATGATCCTGGAGGAGATTGGTTCCCACTGCATGAGAGCCTTCGATGCTCTTGAGGACATCATGATAGCCACTCCCTCAGTGTGCTCGTGGTTGGCGTCTGGGTGACCGGAGTAGATTATTGATTCTCCAGTTGACAGTTTGGAGAGTCCACTCCCATTCCATCTGCTTTCGCAAATCCCAAGCACTTCGATGTTATACCTTCTCATCTCCCTTGCAATCTGGGCTGCCTTACTGGGTTCAAACATCGTGCGGACATTCCATGTCCCCACGTTTACTTTCGCTTTCATCGAGAGAAGACACATCGGCCAATTGGCTTCCCGAAGGCTTTCACCAACTGGCGTCATTTCGCCTCTCCGATTCCAGCGGGGAATAAGTTTGTTTTCATTTTTTATATTTTGTTTGTGCTTTGAAGTTTCTTTAGCGGTTAGATTTGTTTTACGGGGTAGGGTTGCTAGCCCTATGCCCAACCTTCCCTCTTTACCCGGGCTTAGGACCGGCTAGTAACTAGTAAACTAGTTAACCAGGCGAGGTTCAGACTGAAGCATACAGCCTTTAAATCCAACTGTACTTCAGAATCAAACTTCCAGTAATGTGAGTTGTTCGTTGTTTGGCTTTCAGTATCATGTGAATCAGTTCACTTTTAATTCAAGAAAGAGATCCTGAATTTGTGAAAATACCAGACAACAAGCCTCAAACCAATGATAGAAACATTCGACAGGAGGCTGTCGATTTCTTCTGACTGGATTTATATTACACAAATTAAGTTGTAGTAGAATGAATCTCAATCATCTGTTTGTGTCCAGTGAATCTCAGTACTTCCAGGTTCTCACAAACAGTACCTGTTTTTCCAAAGTTTAACAAGGATAATTAATTATGCTTTACAAGTACTGAATTTGTGTCTTGTGAAATGGACACCACATCTGGATGATCAAATAACATTGTCGTAATTCCTGTATTTACTAAATCGCTTATCGTTAATGATGGTGTTTTCAAAACTCCAACTGAATGTAAGAATACAAAACTGTTGGTAAACTGATTAAATTTATGTATACCAACTCCTTTACTACAACAGTCACAATCGGTATAACGTAAATGTGAACTGTTTATCAGATACCGAAAGTCAGTCGAAGAAACAATAGATGTCACTACAATAGTCTGTCAGAATTTGTTCTGTCGTATAGGCTGTCAATCCGTGGGTAATTTACAGTCTCTGAGCCACTTTTTGTATAATTGCAAAAGAGAGATAAAAGGTAGAGTTTTTAGAGCTGAAGTATGCTGCGAATCTTCATTTACAGCAGCATAAGTTCAATGTTCAACTTTATACTTTTTCTGTTAAAAATGACCAGTAATTTTAACTTTTCATGAAGTTCTTCACTTCTTAGTTTTTTCTTTTTAATACGTGTAAATAACAGTGGTGGTTATACAAGTTTTTGTTTTGACTAAATATCTGAGGTGAGAAACAGCATAAATTGTTTGTAGGTTTTTTGTTACTATGTACATTCACTTGACACATGACCTTAGTATTGATCTAATATTATCAGTGTGGCTAAATAAAGACAAAAACGTGGCAAAAATGTTTATCAACTGACTGATGTACATTTCGTAAGAGAATTAAATGTTGGCCGACTGTAATTGTGAACATATATGTTAATGAGGCAACAAAACTTTTCTCAGTCTGAAAATATATATGTAACAGTGATGAATTTACCTGTAACCTTTTGTCAGTATTTTAGATACTGACTCATAAATGATATTCACACCCAATTCATTCAGTTCTTACACATTTTTTATACGTCAATATTTCTCTCTTGTTAAGTGTGCGGATATTGTATACAAGATGGGTCGCAAACAGACATTAAATCAACTAAGTTCGGCTGTTGAGAAAACCAGTCGCTGATGGTGTCGGATGACGGCCTTATTGTATCTCAAACTGATAAGGCTAAGAAACTGTGAACCAAAGGATTTCAACTCAATGGCTAATATTGATGTGCGAAGCTGACGGTCCTGGTCTCATTCCTTCATGGAGTGAGGACAACATCTGTCCAGTGCTACCCCTTTTCACCAGTTCACTTGTCGTGTCGTTGTAAGATACACAAATCTGTCAGTACTTCCTAAGGTTCAGTGATTTCGCAACCGATCTGCATATGAAAGAAGTAGAAGAAATTGACCTTTTTTGCTGGTAATAATGATTCTCAGTTTTATTAGCCAAAAAAGTGGTAATACGGTGTAAATATCTCCTTATACATGCATGAAAAGTTTGCTACAATCTGCTGGGTGCATCACAGGAGTTTTATGAAACTGTATAGTCACTTTCAACCAAAAGTTTTCACTTAGGAGTGTTGTCAATGGTCACACTACTCCAGAAATTTATTTTGATATGGCTCGCAAAATTCAGTAAAATCTTCGAAAAGAATTGGGAACAATTTCTGTCAGTAACTAGCGTTATTTAAGTTACCATTAAAGTTCATGGAGCACTAGACAGTTGTTTCCTTCCAGTTTGAGATTCCTCAAAGGTACTCACTATCCCACATTTCATCGAACCTAGGACAACGCAACGCATATGTTACCCTTCAACTGCTAAGTTGATGTTTGTCAGGGTAATCATAACTTCTTTCAAATATGAATTTCAGGTCATCTCTAACTTGATCATTCAAAAGGCTTCTACTGTTTTTTTTAGATGACATGGAATGATATGCGAGAAACCTATCCTTCCATACCACCAGCTTTATTACGGTTTTTGTTAGAGGAATATGAAGAAGGTTATGGCGTACAAAACACCAATAATGGAGTATTGACGAGAAAGATGCAGCTGTTGTAGATGAAGACCGTAAGTGTACTGTGAATATTACAAAGTATTTAACAATAAGAATAAAGATTTATAAAGTTATGCTGGATTCATGAACTATTATAGAAGTTAGTTAATTCCTCAAAGATGGGAAATGAATGAATGATCCAGCTTCGACTGACATGCCTGCAGTTTTATACATCCAAGTGATTTCATCGAAAAGTAATGAAAAGTTTGCTGTAAATGGATAATCCTTCTCATTTTGGAATTACATTTTAGTCTTACCTCAAAATTTTATACAAAATTTGTGACATTTAATAAATGTCACCTGTAAAGTTATTTTAAGCAGGTGTGACCCATAATGAATTAAGTAAATTTTTCAAATTTTTATTTACATAATCCATAAATGGTCAGACTTCGTTGGATAAGAATTGCAGTTTAATGGATGATTCAACAGTTTGGTATTAACATTATTTTTGTTTAATTCCCAGTCTACATAATGGACAAATAATAAGTGCATCAATGCTATGGTATTTTATGGTTATCTGAAAATCCTTTGATCAGATCAGGGATGCTTAGAACCCACTGTGTATCGTACACAGTGAATATTTAATGGTAAAAACGTCAAGAAATGTAACCGTTTCGTTTTCAGGGAACAAATATTTTCATGATACTACTAACATCTCTTAGACTTTCCAATATCATAAAGTGCACCAAAAGATGCGCTACTAAAATCGCTTATATAGTGCTTATACAAGTGAAAGAATTTGACATTATTCAGTGGGCATTTGAACAACAACCTTCAGATTTCACCCTTGATAGGCTGTTCCTCGATTCCTTGAAATAAAAAGTGGTAAGATAGATGTAATATTATCCCAGACGTATGTATAGAGTGCAACAGTATATATATATATATAAGCACGTAAGATCATGAGTCTTTCCTCGATGCTTCACAAGATGTTGGTTGATTGTAAAATATTTCAATGATTTAGGGCCTTGGTGAAGGATCTCAACAACTATACTGAAAATAATAGAAACTTTATCATGTAACATGGAACAACTTATTTTTCACTATTTGATCTTAAAACAATTACACCAGTTACTATTTTCCAAAATATTTCTTATGAATCCCGTGATTTCGTTCAGAAAGGTAACGGGGTTTTTGGGAATGATAGTAAAACTTACAATGTATTCTGGAGATTGGTTTTTTTTTGTATCAACTGATCTATTTTGAAAGTCTCAGTGGCTGCAGTTACGTTTGATAATTTCAGCATTAAAGCACAAAGTAGACGTGAATGTAAAATTAGTGTTGTTCTCAAGTAGATAATTCATATATGTCAGTAGTTAAGCTTTAGAATGAAATCAAACAGATGTGTAACTCAAAGTGAAATACGATGGCTGCACAACTGATATAGGCCTCCCCTGGATACTGACAATTTGATAATTTGAAATTTTTGTAAAGATGAAAAATTTTGATCGATTTGAAAATCCTGTTAAAACCCCTTTTGCTTTCGTTTAACTTTTATTTTTCCTGCTCCAGCTACTGACCTGATTGAAATAGCTTTGAAAGGATGGAAGTCTAAAGAACGGTTGCGTCCAGCTAAACCACATCATCATCAACTACCTCTCTATAGACCTATGGATCCGTACGGCTTATGCACTCAAACTGCTATGAAAAGCTGTATCAATCAGTTAGATGGAAAGTTGGCCTGTAAGTGTATAAGTTGGATTCATCATTGTATAACACAATCACTAAGGTTTAACTGGTGTATGCTTAGAAACCCATCGGAAAATATTTGACTTTGGTGTTTATCTTTCAGCATAAAGCAGTAATTTTCTCACTACAAACCATCAAGTAGCTATCACCATCAAACTTATATATGTATATGGCCACGTTTTGAACTAGTCTCAAAATATTGGCGTAAAACTGGGACCACGATAAAATTTTATATTAAGTCACCTTGAAAAGTTTGTGTTGTTGGGCATCATAACATTTACCAACGAATAAATAAACTCACAAATCTTTTTTTGGTATTATCAATTTCGAAACATTAAATATTTGTGTCACTACTGCTCTCTTCAGCGCAGAATTTACAAATGTATCTGAGAATACCTGTTAGGACCTGTGATCAGAAAACTATTGAAAGGAAAGACTGAGTAGCTACGAATTGAGTAAGCCTACTGGCATCAGGTCTTTTCACTATAATCTAGGCGAAAAAACGTTTTCATTCACATTCAGTTCTTAAATGTTGGAGTTTGTGTCAAAAAATTCAAAGTCTCTATAACTAGGTACATTATTCTTTATTCTAGACGTAATTAACCTTAAAGTAATTGTGGATTTTGAATCTAGAAACAAAAAGGTACAGAAGGTTCTAAAAAGTACTTGTTAGAGCTCGAAAGTTTCCAACATCATTACAAACCTGAACTAATCTGCTAGGGAGCTTTGATAACCATGAATAATGTAGATTGAATAACTGGATGTTCAAATTGTTTTGTACAGCCTTCA